GTGGTGTCAGTTTAGACAGGAATCTTAATGAAATAGCATGGTTTGTCAGTTAAGACAATTATCTGTACAATATGGTGTCAGTTTAGACAGGTTTCTCTATGAGATGGTGAGTCAGTTTAGACAGGGTTCTGTATGTGATGGTGAGTCAGTTTATACAGGTACCTGTATGATATGGTGGGTCAGATTAGACAATTATCTGTACAAGATGGTGTGTCAGTTTAGACAGGTATTTGTGTGAGATGTGTTGGTTTAGACAGTTATCTGTATGCGATGGTGAATCAGTTTAGACCGGTTTCTGTATGCGATGGTGAATCAGTTTAGACCGGTTTCTGTATGCGATGGTGAATCAGTTTAGACAGGGTTTTGTATGAGATGGTGAGTCAGTTTAAACAGGGTTCTGAATGTGATGGTGAGTCAGTTTAGACAGATACCTGTATGAGATGGTGGGTCAGATTAGACAGGTATCTGTATGAGATGGTGAGTCAGTATAGATAGGTATCTGTATGAGATGGTGAGTCAGTATAGACAGGTATCTGTATGAGATGGTGAGTCAGTATAGACAGGTATCTGTATAAGACGGTGAGTCAGTTTAGACATATGTCATGCTATTTTGGACCGGTAGATGGTGAACATCAACATTTCCTTACCTGTATAATTGATTTATACTGAGAATACATCAGCATCTAGACACCTGTAACAATGTAAACAGGATGATTACAGATTTTGTTTTACAGGTGATCAGTATCACGTTCCCTGTGTTCAGTTTGTTTGTGTAAATATGGCTACGTGGGCACTCACACATGCTGTCGGATCACAAAAAGCTCTTCTGTATACCGACTCATAATGTGCAGCTTGTTTATGATTTCCTCAAAACTCTTTTTCTGTGGTGTATGGAATGGTTGGTGGCAGTGATATAGACTTTAGGAGAGCAGTTTTACATCTTTCACTAATTACACAGTGGCAGTTGTGTTATATCTATATGAGAGCTGCATGTGTATATAAAAAAGATACGCCCACATGCTGTCTGATGTTAAGGGAGGCTTTCCGATTCATTAATTTACAAAAGCTTTGTAATGGGTGTACTTGGCAAGTTATTCAACATAAATATAGCAACATCGATTAATAACAATTTCATTTATTTCTTTCCCTAAAAAAAAGAGAATAAAAAGTTAGAAATAATTTGTATTCGTTTATTAAGATGACCTTAAAATGCAAATTAATAAGATTGTGCATTAATTTACCTAATTATCACAGGTACAAAACTTACTGTTGGTTATAGTCTTGGGTGGCCTTTCCTTTTCCCTTCATTTGTTTCCATGGTAAAATCTAGGGTATCGCTAATTAATGGCACTTTCTCAGAGTTTACATTGGAGATCCAGGTGTATATCTAGATGTTCTGCCCCTGATGTTATCTTCACAGGGTCGGTTGCAGGCTGTGCCAAAGTTAGGGTGTGTAAGGTGTAGTTAACTTCGACTGGACATCTTTCCATGTTATCTCCAACATCCATCTCGTCACATCAAAAGAGTTGTTCTATACTACAACGGTGTAGGGAAGGAACTACAATACCGTGATGAGATATGGGAGAGAAACAACGTGTATAGAAATCGTCTTGTACATTATCAGATAATTCTGTTTCTGGTATTAACCAATTAGTTGATTCCTTTACTTGATCTTTGGAGGAAAACCTTCTTATTTTTGGAACCGTTTTAGTGGATACTTGTTGTCATTGGTCATTCTATCCGATTTTTCATTGGATGTATATCAGACAAATCGTATATTGGATAAAGAATTGGAAACCAGAAAGAACCAGTAAGCGTCAGACTATCCAAGCTAATATGAAGTTTTTGGAATTCTTCTTTTGTTGCTTTAGTGCAAGTTTCGTGGAGTCGAAAGTTTTTAAATTTCATCTTAATTGTCATCAAATCCAACAATCTCATCTCGCATACAAATGTTTAATGTCAAATTTGTAGCCTACCCAGTGTTTTCACTAAGTTTTAAAACAGGTGTTTGATTTTGAAAAAGAACCATCTGAATATTCCACTTAGTGTTTGTAATATTTCTTAAATATGCTGAAAGAATAGCATGTTCAGAGTTGATGAATAGCAGGCAATTTTTGGCAGCAACCAGGTTTTAATAGGATTATAATGCTACCTGCATGTTGTCAGATCTTCAAGACATTGTGTAGACAATTACTGATCAAAATCATAGATATCATTTAATATTAATTTTTGCATCGGTTGCATTGGCATAATTATCATCTGACTGAGCGTCTGACAGAAATCTGAAGGCAGATAATTGGAATTCTTCAGAATTGGGCTGGTCACGATGGTTTTATTTGTATGATACAGTAGCTTATCTTTTGAATGACGTCTCTTCATTCTCACGTGACAATTAAGCTTATAAGTAGATGAGGGAGGGGGTTCAGGAAGTTAGGGAAGTGAGATTGGAACCAGATAATGTATTTATAGAGACACAGCTTGGCTATAAACCTACCTATACTGTTATTTACACCACAGTCTTTGCTGCACGTTAGTTCACAGAAAGGTTTCTTCTGGGTTTAAGCTCTACAAGGTGTTTTTTCAGTAAGTACAATGTAAAGTGCTACTACTATTGATTACATCAGTGTTTTCTGTTGGATCATTTATTGGTACATGTTTATATTCTGTTGGATCATTTATTGATACATGTGTTTATTTCTGTTGGATCATTTATTGATACATGTGTATATTCTTCAGATTGGTATGTACAAGTGTATTTGTGGATTAACTATAGGATAGAAACACCTGAAGATGTGAATCTGTGGATTAATTAGGATAGAAACACCTGAGGGTGAGAATCTGTGTATTAATTAGGATAGAAACACCTGAGGGTGTGAATCTGTGGATTAATTTGGATAAAAACACCTGAGGGTGTGAATCTGTGTATTAATTAGGATAGAAATTCCTGAGGGTGTGAATCTGTGGATTAATTAGGATAGAAACACCTGAGGGTGTGAATCTGTGGATCAATTAGAACAAAACACCTGAGGGTGTGAATCGGTGGATTAATTAGGATAGAACACCTGAGAATTTACAAGTGTATCTGTGTATTAATTAGGATAGAAACACCTGAGGATGTGAATCGGAAGCTTGGTGATACAGACTGTTACAACACTCAATCAGCTGTAGGTAGGTTTTATCTAGGTGTAGGCTAATGATGATGCAAGGCTACTGCCATGAATAAGGTTATACAGATAGGTAATTTGTTTCCAAAACGATGTGCAGGTGACGTTTTTCGTTATTGTGGAGTATAAGTTGTTTACAGTGCTGTAACTGCTACAGTCCGAGGACCACACTTGTTGTGTAACCAAACTTACATGTATCATAATGATCTGAGCCAATTCTTCAGTTTGCGCCTTTGTTATTACGGTAGGTCAGTTTTGGCAGTAGAAGCTGATTTTCTGTTTTGAAGTAAGTCAATTTTCTAATTTGTAATTTTTGGCAGCTTTCATCTTTGTATTTTGTTTTCTACTTTTGATTGATTGGCTTTCATTAGTCAGTTTCCTAATTCGTGATCAGCCAAATTTTCGTTCAATAATTATTGAGTTTCCTATTTCGTCATACTTTAAGTCAGACTTCTACTTTGCAATTGTCAAATCTATACTTTCATATTAACTGATTTTTCTGCTAATAATTGGTCAGTTCCTTATGTGTAATTTGTCAGTTTTGCTATTTGTAATTGGGCAGTTTTTAACTCTGTAATTAGGGAAACTTATTGAGATGATAGCTGAAATAAGACAGAACCAGATCATTGTAGATGTAATTACGGAAACTTATTGAGATGATAGCTGAAATAAGACAGAGACAGATGATCATTGTAGATGTACTTTGGGAAACTTATTGAGATGATAGCTGAAATAAGACAGAGACAGATGATCATTGTAGATGTACTTAGAGAAACTTATTGAGATGATAGCTGAAATAAGACAGAGACAGATAATCATTGTAGATGTACTTAGAGAAACTTATTGAGATGATAGCTGAAATAAGACAGAACCAGATGATCATTGTAGATGAGATCTAACAAGTTTATTTTTGGTCAAGATTTCTATGTAATATTTGAAACCCTTTCCTGGTCAAGATTATACGTGGATAGAATATCTGAAACCATTGTAGGCTAGTATATTGGATAAGCCATCTTGAATTGGTATTTGACGGAAATTGGACCAAGGGTAACGGAAAGCAGGAGTTGAATTTGATACAGAATCAATTGATTTATTGATTTAACCATGTGAGATTCTGGTCCAGTCTGTACATAGTTTTACACTTGGTACAAATTATTCCGAAGTAGGACCTGTATTATTCCGATCGGAGGAAACCTTACTGTGCGTCGGGCTGGGGGCAAAAAGGTTCTTTCTTATTGGTGGCAAATCTGGGTCATCTTGACCTCGTTAGGATTAAGCAGACAGGTAAACTGTTCTTCAGTGTTAAAACACAAGTGTGAGAGTTAGAGTAATGTCATCTGTACCAATTCTTTGTATGTATGTAGACATTATGTAAGATTGGAGGGATACATGTTTCATTGGGGATCTCTAGATTGGGTTTGCCGTGTATGTGCCATCATTTAACATGATTCTAGGCTAATGTTCGCCTTACGATGTGAGTTAGGGATGTGAGCAGGATACAGTGAAGTTGATTGAATTAGCTGTGATATATAAAATGGTGCTGAATAGTAGGAGGAGTGGAATTAAGCCTGGATCAAGTCTATCATTGCTATTGCCAGGGGAAGTGTTATATGGACTGGTGTTTCCGCATCATACATCAGTTTAACTCTTTGTTTGTAGTATTTCTCCGATTCTAATTTAGTCTTGGTTACTTCAGAAATTGACTGTATTAAAAAAGGAATGTTTAAGAAAAAGTTTTTTTTTTTTTTTTTATAAAGTTAACTGATTTATTAATCTAGGCTGGTATGAAATGAAGCTAGAATGATTAATTTAAAAAGTTGTTTATTCAAATTGCAGGACTCTGTTTGTTATCCAGTACTTTTCTATGCAAAATTAGTGACACAATATCTGCCAACATAAAGATGTCAGCGTTATCTAGTGAAGTTTTTACCTGTCTAAGTGACAGTGTAAAGTCCAATCAGAACCACTGAGTTCCAGATGAGAATTGGTTTTCATTGACAGACACCAGCGATATTTAGATCTAATTGGATTTCTTAGCCCATAAAGATATCGGAAATTGTGCATTATTCTTTGATCACTTTGGAATTGCAAAGCCTTTGAAGATTGATATATGAAATGAAGCAAAATGTTGAGTGATCGCCAATGATTTGTTTTGTCGCCTATCAGTAAGGAATATCATTTGTGCAGGTTCTCTCGGAAAAATCATTATCTAAGTTCAATTTCACAATGAGTGATCAAAGTGACAAAACTTAATTGGAGTTAATCTCATCCTGAGGAAGGAATTGGAATTTTGTGACATAATCAGGAAGATTCTTGATTCCTTTGGATTAAAACCTTCAACATGAATTACCTATCGCCACAAGATCGTAGTCAGAGACCGCGTCGACGATCGTTGGCGCAGTTGTATACACTACCGGTCATTCCAGACAACGATGAACCTGTGGATTTTAACCAGGAACTGACGGAGGAAGAAGTGCGACAGATGATTAAACGTCAAAGTAAACGACGAGGTTCTTGTCCCGTCAACCCCAAGGTAAGACCAAACCCAAAGATATATATATATATAATGTTACCAACATTAGCAAGGTTCTGTCAATCCTAGGGTAAGACAAACCAAAAGATGTATTTATATGATATGCTATCATGCAACATCCACAAAGTCCGGTAAACCGTTGGTTGAGATGTAACCGAAAGATGTATGTCAATATAATGTTACCAGCGTCCACAAGGTTCTGTAAACCGTAGGGTGAGACATAACCCAAAGATCTATGTATATATAATGTTACCAGCGTCCACAAGGTTCTGTTAACCCTAAGGTGAGACATAGCCCAAAGATCTATGTATATATGATGTTACCAGCATCCACAAGGTTCTGTTAACCCTAGGGTGAGACATAACCCAAAGATCTATGTATATTTGATGTTACCATGGTCCACAAGTTAACCCTAAGGTGAGACATAGCCTATATATATATAATGTTACCAGCGTGCACAAGGTTCTGTAAACCCTAGGGTGCGACATAACCCAAAGATGTATGTATAATGTTACCAGCGTCCCCAAGGTTCTGTAAACCCTAGGGTGCGACATAACCCAAAGATGTATGTATATATAATATTACCAGCGTCCACAAGGTTCTGTAAACCGTAGGGTGAGACATAACCCAAAGATCAATGTATACATAATGTTACCTGCGTCCACAAGGTTCTGTTAACCCTAAGGTGAGACATAACCCAAAGATCTATGTAGGTATATTATGTTACCAGCGTCCACAAGGTTCTGTTAACCCTAGGGTGAGACATAACCCAAAGATCTATGTATATATGGTTTTACCAGCGTCCACAAGGTTCTGTTAACCCTAGGGTGAGACATACCCCAAAGATCTATGTATATATAATGTTACCAGCGTCCACAAGGTTCTGTAAACCGTAGGGTGAGACATAACCCAAAGATCTTTGTATATATGATGTTACCAGCGTCCACAAGGTTTTGTAAACCCTAGGGCGAGACATAACCCAAAGATCAATGTATACATAATGTTACCTGCGTCCACAAGGTTCTGTTAACCCTAGGGTGAGACATACCCCAAAGATCTATGTATATATGATGTTACCAGCGTCCACAAGGTTCTGTGAACCGTTGGGTGAGACATAACCCAAAGATCTATGTATATATGATGTTACCAGCGTCCACAAGGTTCTGTTAACCCTAGGGTGAGACATAACCCAAAGATCTATGTATATATAATGTTACCAGCGTCCACAAGGTTCTGTAAACCCTAGGGTGAGACATAACCCAAAGATCTATGTATATATGATGTTACCAGCGTCCACAAGGTTCTGTTAACCCTAGGGTGAGACATAACCCAAAGATCTATGTATATATGATGTTACCAGCGTCCACAAGGTTCTGTTAACCCTAGGGTGAGACATAACCCAAAGATCTATGTATATATGATGTTACCAGCGTCCACAAGGTTCTGTTAACCCTAGGGTGAGACATAACCCAAAGATCTATGTATATATGATGTTACCAGCGTCCACAAGGTTCTGTTAACCCTAGGGTGAGACATAACCCAAAGATCTATGTATATATGATGTTACCAGCGTCCACAAGGTTCTGTTAACCCTAGGGTGAGACATAACCCAAAGATCTATGTATATATGATGTTACCAGCGTCCACAAGGTTCTGTAAACCCTAGGGTGAGACATAACCCAAAGATCTATGTATATATGATGTTACCAGCGTCCACAAGGTTCTGTTAACCCTAGGGTGAGACATAACCCAAAGATCTATGTATATATGATGTTACCAGCGTCCACAAGGTTCTGTTAACCCTAGGGTGAGACATAACCCAAAGATCTATGTATATATGATGTTACCAGCGTCCACAAGGTTCTGTTAACCGTAGGGTGAGACATAACCCAAAGATGTATGTATATATAATGTTACCAGCGTCCACAAGGTTCTGTAAACCCTAGGGTGAGACATAACCCAAAGATCTATGTATACATAATGTTACCTGAGTGTCCACAAGGTTCTGTAAACCGTAGGGTGAGACATAACCCAAAGATGTATGTATATGTGATGTTTCCAGCCTCCACAAGGTTCTGTTAACCCCAGGGTGAGACATAACCCAAAGATCTATGTATATTTGATGTTACCAGCGTCCACAAGGTTCTGTTAACCGTAGGGTGAGACATAACCCAAAGATCTATGTATACATAATGTTACCAGCGCCCACAAGGTTCTGTAAACCGTAGGGTGAGACATAACCCAAAGATGTATGTATATATAATGTTACCAGCGTCCACAAGGTTCTGTTAATCCTAGGGTCAGATGTAACCCAAAGATCTATATATATATGATGTTACCAGCGTCCACAAGGTTCTGTTAACCGTAGGGTGAGACATAACCCAAAGATCTATATATATATGATGTTCCCAGCGTCCACAAGGTTCTGTTAACCGTAGGGTGAGACATAACCCAAAGATCTATGTATATATAATGTTACCAGCGTCCATAAGGTTCTGTAAACCGTAGGGTGAGACATAACCCAAAGATCTATATATATATGATGTTACCAGCGCCCACAAGGTTCTGTAAACCGTAGGGTGAGACATAACCCAAAGATCTTTGTATACATAATGTCAGTATTGTGAGAACTTGAATGTTTATTAAACTATGAACAGGAGTGGGATTTTTTTGTCTAACAGTGCATACTTTAGGTCAAGGTCATTGTGTCATCTGGAATGTTCAAAATGATCTCCAGACACTTACCGTACAAATGATAACAAAAAGCAGACAGGAACGTCTGTAATATTTACATTCAGTGGTAATACCCAGATCACAGAATGATTTTCTCTAAAACTGTTCAACCGTGATGGACAAACTATTATGCTTTTGATACTCACAATGGGGCATTATATCACAGGTCCATTGAGTTGTCTAACAATCAAAACACTTGCTTGGAATTACTTTGACTTCACACTACACTTTCCCTCCTAGAAGTAGCATGATTTATATACTAGTTTTATGAAGGAATAAAGAGATGCTTCAATCTCTATATATTCTCAATGTCATTATATATAGTAGGACGAGGAATAGTGATAAAGATAGTGCCGTCTCTGGCGCTCAAACCTGCGACCCTTGGTTCTCAAGCTTGATGCTCTAGTGCTGAGCTAGAGGGAAATTCCCCACAGCTGACACTTGTAAGGCAACTTAATCAATGCACATGTTTTACATCATGATAGGTAGAGAAAATGAGTAACCATATCAGATATCGCAATATGTCAAAGTGGCAGCCTTGGACTGTGAACAATTGGAAAACTTCACTGTAATTAATACAGTAACATCAGGACCAGGGACGTATTGGTCCAGGTATAACGCGCTAATGATGAATTGCTTGTAACACAGCTAGAGGTGTCTCTGTGGTCATGCAACAGTCTAGTCACTTGTTACCGACAATTTGGCCAGAGAAATTGTCCTGTGGGGTATGTCCATGCATCTAGTCACTTGTTACTGACTTGTCTAGAGGTGTGTCACAGTAAACAATCTAGTCACTTTATACTGACTCGTCTAGAGGTGTGTCACAGTGAACTATCTAGTCACTTGTAACTGACTTGTCTAGAGGTGTGCCACAGTGAATAATCTAGTCACATGTTACTGACTCGTCTAGAGTTGTGTCACAGTGAACAATCTACTTACATGTTACTGACTTGTCTAGACTTGTGTCACAGTGAACAATCTAGCCACATGTTACTGATTAGTTGTGTCACAGTGAACAATCTCGTCACTTGTTACTGACTTGTCTAGAGTTGCGTCACAGTGAACAATCTAGTCACTTGTTAATGACTTGTCTAGAGGTGTGTCACAGCGAACAATCTAGTCACTTTATACTGGCTTGTCTAGAGTTGTGTCACAGTGAACTATCTAGTCACTTGTAACTGACTTGTCTAGAGGCGTGTCACAGTGAACAATCTAGTCTCTTTATACTGACTTGTCTAGAGGTGGGTCACAGTGAACAATCTAGTCACATATTACTGACTTGTCTAGAGTTGTGTCCCAGTGAACAATCTAGTCACATGTTTCTGACTTGTCTAGAGTTGTGTCACAGGGAACTATCTAGTCACTTGTAACTGACTTGTCTAGAGGTGTGTCTCAGTGAACAATCTAGTCACTTTATAATGTGTCACAGTGAACAATCTAGTGTGTCACAGTGAACAATCTAGCCACATGTTACTGATTAGTTGTGTCACAGTGAACAATCTCGTCACTTGTTACTGACTTGTCTAGATGTGTGTCACAGTGAACAATCTAGTGTGTCACAGTGAACAATCTAGCCACATGTTACTGATTAGTTGTGTCACAGTGAACAATCTAGACACTTGTTACTGACTTGTCTAGAGTTGCGTCACAGTGAACAATCTAGTCACGTTATACTGACTTGTCGAGAGGTGTGTCACAGTGAACAATATAGGCACATGTTACTGACTTGTCTAGAGGTGGGTCACAGTGAACAATCTAGTCACTTGTTAATGACTTGTCTAGAGGTGTGTCACAGTGACCAATCTAGTCACTTTATACTGACTTGTCTAGAGTTTTGTCACAGTGAACAATCTAGTCACGTTATACTGACTTGTCGAGAGGTGTGTCACAGTGAACAATCTCGTCACTTGTTACTGACTTGTCTAGAGTTGCGTCACAGTGAACAATCTAGTCACTTTCTACTGACTTGTCTAGAGGTGTGTCACAGTAAACAATCTAGTCACTTTATACTGGCTTGTCTAGAGTTGTGTCACAGTGAACAATCTAGACACTTGTTACTGACTTGTCTAGATGTGTGTCACAGTGAACAATCTAGTAACTTTATACTGACTTGTCTAGAGGTGGGTCACAGTGAACAATCTAGTCACTTGTTAATGACTTGTCTAGAGGTGTGTCACAGCGAACAATCTAGTCACTTTATACTGACATGTCTAGAGTTGTGTCACAGTGATCAATCTAGTCACTTTATACTGACTTGTCTAGAGTTG